CCTGTCATGTTTTCAATGTATTGTCGAAGGCTTTCACAGCCGGAATACGATGGCTGGTGTGGGTCTTCTGGGCTGTGTGGCCGTGTTCTGGAAGTTTTGTTTCCTAATGTTTCGCCAGCATCTGTGACCGGCTTCTTCAGAGGGCAGGAGAACAGAAAGGAGCAGTTCTCTCTGTGCCCAGGATGATGTGACCCTGTTGTGGGTATTTATAGAGATCAGCGAGGATGCCTGAAGGTGCCGGTCACAGATGCTGGCGAAACATTAGGAAACAAAACTTCCAGAACACAGCCACACAGCCCGGAAGACCCACACCAGCCAAAGCTCCAAAAGCTTCAAAGAGATAATGCCTTAATGAAGTTAATAATAAAGGAAGGCTGGAAGGATATCTCAGTTCTCAAGATTCTGTATTCTAACCCATAATTCTTTGTATTAAAACTCATTAAGAAAGTCTGTGTGAATCTTGCTTCCTGGATTGTGCTCTGCAATTAAGGGGCTTGATGGTGGATAACCAACCAGCCCACCCCCACCTCTCCTCTTCCCAGCACCTTTCTTTCCTTACCTCTCCTTATGCTACTTTTGAAAATGAGGACATCAGTGGCAGCTTAGGAGAGGTAGAGGAAAAAAGAGTTCTGTGAAAATCAAAGGGGCCAGGCAGACTGGATATGCTACACTTGAAATCAAAGACATTAGTGAGGGCTATTAAACTGATCCACCTATTAATCTTTCCAGAGCCTTACTTTTCGTACCTCCTCTGGATCAAACACATTTATTTTGGCCTGGGTACAGGACACTAGAAACTAGTTGTCCCATGCATGGAACATTTTGCACATCCCCTGGGGGTAGGAACTAGCAAGACAAAATGTTAGAGGGTGGGCCAGTTCTGTGCCATCTAAATTAGTCTGGTGCTCTCCCTCATCTGCCCTGCAAAGTAGACCAGATCAAGAAACAGATACCATGTAGGCCTAAAACTACTTTTATTAAAATGGCTATAGTAACAGAATCTTGCAAATCTGAATGTGCTTCCCCTCCTCCCTCTTATCTCCATGTGAATTACAGGGAGGAGTTATCTTAGGAGTTTTCATAAATCTCTACCTTGGTATGAGCTTAAGCTATGTTTATCTGTTCATTGCCTTGGTAATGGATCTTCCTTCTCTCTCCATCAAGGCCATCCTCTCTATTCTCTACAGTCTCCCTTCCACCCAGCACACGCCCTACTATCCAAGATTCAGATTCTAGCCTGAGCAATTTCTACATGTGGAAGGAAGCATTTATAAAGATGCTCAGCAACTTTGCCTCATCCTATGAGAAATGGCTTGTCTTTTTCTAGAAAGCCCAGGCTACATTATATTTATGTACTATCATTGTGGAATAAGCAATATCATGTTACATCAATTTCTATGAAATTTCCTTTTACTTTGTAAACCAAGATAATTTCAGTATATTGGAATTTTAATGGTAAACACATATTAATGGTTATATAAAGCTGGTATTTAAAACATGCAGAGATTACACATTCTCTAAAGGAAGGTAATAGCCTATTTTTCATTATTTCAAATTTAAAAGTTTCATGAAAAAAGAAAGCAAAACCTGTTGAAGGAACCTGTAAAGCCTGAAAAATAGTTACATCTAATTAAAGAAAAGATAATATCCAGGCCTTATTGTCTGTGGTTGTAGCTATAAGTGTCTACTACCTAAAAGCTACTGATTAAAGGGCCAAAAGGCACTATATAATGAACAAAACAAAACCTGAGATATTTTTATGAAAAAGTTACAAATTTCGAGACTGCTTCCATAAACATGTTCCTCCAAACATAGGAAATAGACTGAACCACATTTCCAGTGTAATGCCTAACTGTAAAGAGATAGGCATTAGATCCATGCTGACCAAGAAAGGGATCTTGATTTGTTCATTTCCAACATGAACCCAGCATGCAGTTGCGTAAAAGAAGCAAAAGGGGGAATGTTAGGAAAAGGATGAAGACAAAACAGCAATTTATTGCTGTCTTTCTATAATTCAGTAATGTGACTATTCTTGTAATAACATGTAGAGTTAATGTCATCACAGCTCAAGTAGAATATCAGAAGGCTAGAAATGGGGCTGAAAAGGGCAGCAGAAAACATCAAAGGCTCTTGGAACAACCCTCATATAAGAAAATGTAATGAGGAGGGCATTCAGCCTGCATGCTAAGCATATTGCAGCCAGTGTTGCATTGTAGCTAGACTGTTAGGTGATGACTCAAGCCCTTATTCCATTTATTTTGGGTCACTGAATATTAGCCCAACCTATGTCACTGGATTGTTGTGAGGATAAAATGGAGAAGGAACTGCTGGAAGAAAAAAGTATGTGCATCAGTGTGTTTTTAAGACAGTGAGGTTATTAAATAAACCAACAGAATTGTGTAAAAAGTGAATCGGCAGAAAAATGGCTTCTCTTTCTAATGAATTAAAATGTTGGACAAGGTTTGGAGAGACCCAGTTCTCAATCATACTCTTCCATGAAGCTCAATTGATGTTTTGGACCAATCCGTACCTCTCAGTTTAAACTACTGGACAGGGCTGGGAAGCTACATAAATGTAGGGATATGACATCTTGAGCATCCCGAATAGCGATTTTCACTTTATACTATAGAGGGGATTCAGAAGGACCCAGAGTGAGTCACTGAAACTCTATTTAAACTATTAAAGCATACCATAAATTGTAAATATAATAATTCAGTACTGTAAACATACGACTTTGGAAGCACTAGGATCATGGTAGACTCAGGTTCTTTGATGCTGTAACTGATGGGACTTAAGAGGGGTTAAGGGTTGAGAACCATTGCTCTAGAGCAGTGATTCTCAAAGTGTGGTCTGGGGCCCCTGGGGGTCCCCAAGAACCTTTCAGGTGGTCCTCAGAGTCAAATAAATATTTTTAAATGTCTGTTTTAATTTTTGATACGGTAAATATCAATAGACATAACCCTCATAAACCAAAGCTCTTTGGGGTCCTCAGTCATTTTTAATTATGTAAAGGGGTCCTGAAATCAAAATGTTTAAGAACCACTGCTCTAGAGAAAAGACAGGCTTTAAATACAACAAAATTAATCCTCCTTAATTTCAAACCAAGTTTTAAAGTGTTGCCAAGCTAATAAGAGAGGTAAAAGGCAAGTAAGGCTTGGAGGAAAACTAAAAGTAGCATCTTAAAATCAGCCAGGATGAAGACCAGTGTTAAGAGTTACATGACTGTGCATAATTACAGGAGCAAAGGTGGAACGAAATTAAATTCACCCCGCAGCTAAAAACAGACCAAGAAAGGGAAATGGAAACTATCATCAACCTAATTTCAAGTTTAATTTCTCCTCTCTGAAGAACATAAAAATACTTCATGGGTTAGTATTGACACAATATAGTAATGGGTTCAAAAACTGCCAAGAAAATATGGCAGCTCTTAATTTTATTAGATCTATGAACGCACCTACTAAATTCAGAATTATGCTGTTCATCAGTTTAAAACCTGCATTATAATTTAGTACAACAGAAACCTTCACTTGATTTAAGGCCATTAGACGTGAGCTGCAAATATCCAGGCAACCAGTGGAGAACAGCAAAGAGATAATCTGCCATGTAATTTTGCAGGCCAGGTCCAATAGGCATAACTCCAGTGAATACAAATAAGTGAGGGCAGGAGACATAACTGAGAAAAGAATGTATTTAAATAAGGGTCTTCAATCACTGTGAAACAGGAACTGAACACAAGGTGAGATTTAATTCCTTTGCCTTTGACCTCTAAAGAGCTTCCAACAAGCTCTTTTCTCCCAGGTGAGGATCAAAGTTCAGAAGAAAGAAGTATCAGAATTGGAGCAGAATACACAGCTAATTTTTAAAGTTTGTGGGGAGAGGGGGTTGATAAAGAGAGGTTAACATTATAGAAGCTCATCCAACTTCCAGCTTCTCACCTTGGTTCTCTAAAGGAGCAGCCAGGAATGCAGCAGCAAACAAAAGGCTGAGGGTGCAGGCAGAAATCATTGCTCCTGTTCCAGTCTCAGTGATGACTATGAAGCTAGTGGCAGAACTCATGGGTACATACACATATATAAATGCAAAAGAGGAAGCAGCAGTAGCAGCAAGGAAATAAAATGGGGGCTTTCACACCAAAAGCCCCAGAGGAACCAGATTTGGACAACAGAACTTGCTATTTCTTGGTACATTATGAAACCAAAGTCTTGCACATCCTGCAATTTTACCAGTGTGAGATCAATTTCAGAAGCATAGGCTCTGAGCACCCATACCTACAACATACATGTATTCCAGTCACCCCAGTAGTTCTTTATCCATTTATTCTGAGGTGAGATAAAATTCTGGATTATATCAAGGCTGTTCCCACTGCATTTGGATAGGAAGAGTTAAAAGCGTATTTTAAAAACTAATCTTAAAAACCAGCACTAGGAGAAATTAATATCTGAAAGTTGGAATAAAAATCACATATAGTAATTTATCCTCCAATAATATTTAATATAGTAACATACACCAAACTGCATTTCCCAATTAGATTAGATGCAATAGGGAGGACCTTCTGGTAAGCCTACATTTAATAATTGCCATAAAATCTCTTGTGGAAAGTTGTTTTGCGTTGTAAATTCTAACATGGGATTTGCTTTATTTCCTTTGCAAATGAGATGCTAAGCTTGTATGAAAGTGTGGCAGCCAATAGAAGCTACTCTTAAGAAGATTTTTAATTTACAGTTATGCAGTAAAATAATTTGATAATGGGTTCACACATTCTACTAAAACTGGCTTTTTACTTTTTCAATAAGCCACAACCACTGGGTTTACACAACACTGTAAACTAATATCAAATGACATCAGGATTTAGCATGAGGTGAGAATCCAGTGGCTAAAATAAGCATTTTCTATGCTATCATCCCATAAAATGCTCAATTCCATTTCATCATTACAACTGCATTTCTCTTACTGTTTAAAAATGTTAACATTTTGGGGCTTAGGAAAGCTTTAGCTATTTGTACATTGGATGACATTTCTGGAAAAATACTGTTATTATTATACTTTTATCCTGCCTCCCTCCCCTCCCCGTATATATACACATTTTTTTCTCTAAAAAAAAATCAAAATGGCAAACATACTTAATTCTCCTGGCTCCTATTTGCCCCATAACAACCCTGGGAGGTGGGCTGAGCTGAGATTTAGCTATTTGTACATTGGATGACATTTCTGGAAAAATACTGTTATTATTATACTTTTATCCTGCCTCCCTCCCCTCCCCGTATATATACACATTTTTTTCTCT